CCTTACGTTGATTAATATTACTGTTTGCACGTTGCTGGACCATTATCAATAAGGTTGTGTTCAACTAAACTCAAGGTCATGGCGTGGTATGGTTGTTAACCACCAACTGTCAGCTTGGAAAGGTTTACGAAATATTTGTCAATAAATATATGAGCCCACCTTGTTGGGAATGTTTTTTATTGATTCTCAGGTATCGAACTCTTGCCTATTAACCATTCCTATTTTGTTTAGCACGTTAGTTTTCGTTGAAAAAATTATATATGATAGGTCGTGGCTTCGAATTTCGTGAGGCGGGACCATGGATGCGCACTGATGAGGAGTTCCATACTGGGACGAAACGGCCGTCCAGTGCTTCAAGGTTTTCCATGGTGGTTTAACTTCAATTGGCTCATGAATTCAACTATTAAATTACTAAAATCTCCACAAAACCCCTTCTGACAAAACTTATGTGTCTCAAAAACTCTACGTTATACCATTGTTTTTCTAACAATTTACGAATCGACTTAATAAGCTATTCATTGGTTTCATTTTCACATATGTCGATATTTACAATTAACTAAGATTATAATCGAAGCAGCGATGTTGGCAAACATACGTTAGTCCAAATCGCTATATCATATGAGCATGACAAAATGAAACTGACAAACTGAATAGTTAAAACATCTAAATAATAACAAGAATAATAATAATCATAGTTTAAATAATGAAAATATGGTTCAAGATAACAGAATGTGAATTCACTTTCAATGAAATACTGGAACTCAAGATCAAAGTGAAGATAAACAGAGATCTAGATAAACTTTTTTATATTCATTGAGATCAGAGGTGAAAACAATCGGTTTAATTAATATTATTCACTCCGTTGTCGGCAAACATTGTTGTTCTGACTTTTTTCAATTTGATATCTGGAAGAAAAAGGAATCAGTCTGAGTGAATCTATTCATAAACGTTTTATAGCAATGTCTTAACTAGACTTTTATCTTTGCATATCATGATTATTATTATTAACATATTTTAAATTAGATATAATTTTATACAAAAATAGTGGTAAGAGTATTAGTAATTGTATTACTTGGTAGAAAAGCTGATTTCATTATGAATCATTTAAAATGCGACGAATGTCGAATAGGAAGTAGATATATGAAAGTGATCTTATAACCAAATAATAAGAAGCTGATTACGTATTTTTTTTTAACATTTTATATATGAAAACTGCACATACCAAATTGAGACACTACGGATCATCGTTGAACAATCAGTTGGGTGGAACTCGTCACCGCACATCAACTTCATTAAATATGAAAAAGCGTTTGACGATGTGGATAGGAGAACATTATGGAAACTCCTTCGACACTACGAAGTTCCTGAGAAGATTGTCAACATTATCCGGAACTCATAAGACGGACCACAGTGCAACGTCATGCATGGAGGACAGCTGACAAACGAATTCCGAGTAAGGACCAGGGCCAAACAATGTTGTCTAATCTCCCCCTTCCTCTTTCTTCTGGTGGTTGACTGGACAATGAAGACCTCGACATCTGAGTGGGAGCACGGAATACAATGGACAGCTCAGAATCAACTAGAAGATTTAGACTTCGCAAATGACCTGGCCATTCTATTCCATACACACGAACAGATACGGATGAATTTAACCGGTGAAACATCAGCCTCTGCATCAGTGGGCCTCAACATACGCAAGGGAAAGAGTAACATTCTCAAATACAACACGGAGAACAACAACCGATTCACATTTTATGGCAAAACTCTAGAAGACGTAGAATCCTTCACATACCTGCGAAGTATCAACGATGAACAAATAGGATCAGATGCAGGTGTGAAGGCAAGGATTCGCGAAGCAAGAACAGCATTTCTACAATTGAACAACATATGGAACTCAAAACAACTGTCAGTCAACATCAAAGTTAGAATCTTCAATACGAACGTCAAGACAGTCCTATTGTACGGAGCTGAAATTAGAACTACCACAACCATCATCAGCAATGCACCAGCATTTCTAAACAATTGTCTACACAAGATACTCAATGTCCATTGGCTGGATACCATCAGCAACATCCTATTATGGGAGGGAACAAACCAGCTTCCAGCTGAAGAGGAAATGAGGTAAATAAGATGGAAGTGGATAGGACATACATTGAGAAAATCATTAAACTGCATCAAGAGACAAGAACTAACTTGGAATCTTGAAGGGAAACAGAAAAGCATCAAACCAATGAACACACTGCGTCGGGAATTGGAAGCATATATGAAAAGAATGAATAACAACTGAAAAGAACTGGAAATGATTGCCCAGGACAGGGTTGGATGGGAAGTGATGGTGGACGACCTATGCTTCTCGACAGGGAGTAACAGGCGTATGTAAGTAAGTATTTGAAAGCAAATTAATATGAATAATCTGTTGTTGAAATAATAAAAACATCATCATTGGAGAGACGATGACGGGGGATTATCCGCGAAAATTTAAATCATTTTGTTATTATCTTCTATTTAATAAATAAAACATTACGATAATAATTTGTTTGAAACAAATTACAATTGCTGTACAGATCCTCTTATTTTTTCCTTGAAATAATCGAACTGTTAATTGTTTTTTAAGAACCAACTGACCTTTCTTCAACATGTTTTTATGAAAAAATTATACTTCACTTTATTGTTAGCAGTACACTATTTGACCAGTAAATAGTATAATCGGTATTTTTTTACAAACACATACACAACTGATGACTTTTAAGAAGTGACTAAAATTTGTAAACACTATTATATTATTTTAACGAATAATTTAATTGAAAATTTGTTTAATCTTTCAATTATCATTTTCATAATCATAAACACTGTGAGGTACAGTGAGTCGCAAAACTTTATCATACTAATTTCCGATTCCTCATCAATACGATCATATACAAGATCAACGTGAATTGACCTATAGTGTTATATCATTGAATAAAAATTTCATGGGTAATATGTACTCAATTAGGATGATATAACATTCTAGTGTTTCAGAAGTCTAAATTAAATATTCACTGAATCATGTTAGATGGTTGGATATCATCGACATAAAATCAAGGATCTTGGTTTTGTGCCATTTGCCACTTGTCAGAAAGGTGTACTTGTAATCTTGAAATAATTAGTGCTCTCTGATGGATTCCGTTCTGTATACCCCAAGTTCACAGTCTGAGATGTTGCCACTGAGTTATTCAAGTTGTGGCTGACTTCTTGTATGACTGATATATTTACAATTAATTAATCACCTAGTTGTAACCAGAGTAACATTTTTCCGGTCTTCTCAGTTCTGATTGAATTCTGTCGATCGAGTTGCAATGTGACCATCAGTCTAAACAACTCAACATCATATACACTATGTTGAAATGTAAGGTGGTGGTTGGAGGTAATCTACAGGAAATCTTTAACGTAGGTTTCGTGCTATTTTTCACTTATCAGTAACTTGTACCTGCAAAAGTAAGCAAATATTGCCTTAATTTGAGACATTTTGAATAGTTTTCATGAATAGTCTCGAAAAAATATCACATCTTATAATGTTATCGGTATCATTTACTCTCAAAAGAAATGCAAACAAACCAGTATTTGAGGAGTGAAGTTTACTTCTTGTGATGATGATTGACCAAAATTTTTAATTCCACAAGTAAGAGGAATGAAGTTTAGTCAAGTTTTGTAGTTTAGATATTTATGAATTAAATTTTTTTTCGTATTTATCTTGTCACGTTTTTTTACAGATTAAAAATATATAAGATTTAATAAGAACTAAACTCCGCCTGGAGTCCCTCTGGGGGCTATTGCCGGTCCCAAGCCCGGATAAAGGAGGAGGGTTGGGCATGGGGTTAGCGACCCAATCCCGTAGAAAACTAACTCGCTAAAAAATGCTAACCTAATAAGAATTACAATTTAGGTATATTTCTAAAGTGTATTATATAATTTCATATTCAATGCTTACACTCTTGAATAATTATAACCTTCATGTATTAAACATTAAAATAATTTATATATGATCCCAATGTTTTGTTCAAGTTCAATATGTATGATTCAATGTTTAAACTAGTTCTTTTCTTGACGAATTATTTTCTTAAATTAGATCTACAAACATTGTATAGACTAGTTCAAATCTATGCTTATTGATTAATCAGTCAATCAATTGATTGATTAAAACTAGTACAGAAAAAACTATTTTTAGAAATTGATTACAATTTCGAAATTCCATCGTGAATTATTTTTAACCAGAAAAAATGTTATTTTATATTGTGGAACATAAATGTCGACCTACCCCACTCTATACATACACACACACGCACAAGTACACACAGTAGGTAATCTGTTTTATTGATCCGGTTCTAGTCATTACATTTTTTGTTACTATTCAAATTCTTCTTATCGGACAATATTTAGGACGAATTGTCGTTAACCCCCTATCTATATGTTGTATTTGTGTCGTACCCATTCAGCTGAAATGTGCAAAAGCTTCTTATAGTAATTTCCCTCTCTAAGTAGATATTAAAGAATAATTTGAATGTATGACATTCATGCATTTTATCTAAGTTAGTGGCATTCAATTGCATTCTAAAACTTATTAATAACAAATCTGTAACCGTTTTTGATCAATAATAGTCAAAATGATATATCAATAAAATGATCGAGAATTTTTCAAGCACTTATCATAGAAATTCAACACAGGCAACCAGTATGACCAATAAAACTAGACAAAATTTAACAATCAACTTTTTTCTACAGAATAAATGGAATGTGAACGAAACTCACGTCTTGGATTCCACTACTAGCCACTTTTTATTTGCTTTATATATAACCTTGTGACATAATGGCTGCATCGAGCCAATCCGCATAGGATGCACATTTATTAAAAAAGACTGATCGAATTTTAGTCAAAATATTAACAGCAGAGTATTTTAAGCCATTATAAATTAAATTAAGAGTCACCTTTTTTCGATTTCATGACTTTATTTTATTTCATAGGATCAGATAAAATGATCCCAAGTTTGAAATGCATGGAGATGATAATACCAACTATTCAGACAACAGAAATACCATGCCATAGTAGTAAAGCTAGATTGTTTCAAATCAAATTCCAGAGTAGTAGTAGTAGTAGTAGTAGTAGTAGTAGTAGTAGTAGTAGTAGTAGTAGTAGTAGTAGTAGTAGCAGTAGTAGTAGTAGTAGTAGTAGTAGTAGTAGTAGTAGTAGTAGCAGTAGCAGTAGCATTAGCAGTAGCAGTAGCAGTAGCAGTAGTAAACATTAAGTACAGGGAGAGTTTAGGGATTAGGATCTAAGAGACATCAAAAAGTGGTTCCTATTGTTTTATTATGAACAGTTATGAATCATGTCACCCCGAGTCTTTTACAAATGATTGAGATAACAGAGTGAACCATAACCAGGTAACCCGCACCTATTTACATGAATCGATTTAATTGTCAATGACTTCATGAATAATACAATACTTATAATTAGTTGAATATGATCCTGATGTTATTTGGTGACGTCTAAATAAAAGTCGCAGAAATGTACGTATGTATGTAGTGGTAGTAGTAGTAGTACTTCAGCTAAGTGGTTACTTGCAGAAGCTAATATAATTCTTTCACATCTGTTATTAAATGTTTAATCAATGAATTGAGACCTGATAAGTTTCATTCTCATTGTGATACAACTTATACTTTGAAACATGAATTGAATATTTCAGTCTTCCATCATTTCTGAACTTGAATAAAGTAAGAATAAAGATGGTAGTCGAATAAGATCATTTTATTTAGTTCTCCCCAAATATTTACTGCTAAGGTGAAGACAAAATCACTGGGATTCGATTAACAATGTTAAAATCTTGCTCAAAACCCTAACCTTATATGCAGTTTTACTCACTGTCTTTACCTTTCTTGATTGGTTCCCATCGCTTAGCGTTCGCTAAATCTCTGAATGTTTATGGGTCATGTTTTCGTTACTAAATAGACGGAGTTAAATAAATTCGTTTTATTTTACTTGTTCTACTTTGAATACCAAGTCTTTCCACATTCCGTCTTTTCCCTACTCGATCTGTCAAGTTTTGATGTATTGGGCGTTTGTCGCCGTTATCCATCTACGCAATAAAATCGATCGTATTAGAACAGCTGAATGGTTCCTAATTCACTAAGTATTGTGAGCCAAAATATCGAGATATAACACTTTTAACCCAGAAATAATAGTATAAACCACTGATGAGATAACAGGTATACATATTTTATGTAAGAAAAGTCTACGACAAAGTTTAATTTTAAATGTAAATGTAAACTGATAGAAAATAATTTTGGCGGAATTAAAAAAGTTATTCAAACGATTGAATATATATACCGTTAAACATTTGATTTGTAATTCCAATTACTTATATTAGGCTTTGAGTTACATCATTCAATTGTATAGTTAACCTAATTACTATTATCTTCATTTCTCCTTACCTCCTGATTTGTTCAGTTGACCCCTTATTTTTTGTAATATGATGTCTTAACAAGTATGTAAAATCAAATTGTTTGAAATGTGTGGCACAAATATATTACATAATTTTGATAAGATTAGTCTTCTCATCGCATTATCCAAATTTATCAAAGCAACTAATCATTTAAATCATGAGTCAGTTGAAGCTAGACCACCATTGAAAACCTGGAAGCACTTGACGGCCAGGTCTGTTGTGAGATATCAGCTCACTGAAGACAATGGTATACAGTGGCGCAACTTCGTGGATTGGTTGAAGTTAGACATTAACACCGTTGGATGCCGGCTCAGTGGTCTAATGGTTAAGTGCTCGCGCGCGAAGCCAGTAGGTCCTGGGTTCGAGCCTCGCGTGGTGCGGGATCGTGGATGCGCACTGCTGAGGAGTCCCATACTAGGACGAAACAGCCGTCCAGTGCTTCCAGGTTTTCAATGGTGGTCTAGCTTCAACTGACTCATGATTTAAATCTGTGAAAATTTCTAAAATCTCCACAAACCCCTTCTGATAACTAATCATTTTAACGGATTATTTTAACTAATCTATTTGATAGAATAGATTAAAACATTATTCAATTGATTTATGTTAATTAATACTTTAAAGCATATTTTAACTCATTACAAATCAATAATTTGTCATTATCAAAATGATTAAAACAAATAGTGAATAAATATTTTTTTAAAATCCTGATGATGGTATTTAAACAAAACATATTCAATGCTTTATCCATCATATTCGAAAATTTGTTCAACGTAAAAGAAAATAATAATTTCAACCCAAAGTAACAATAATAATCATGACATAGAAAAAAAAATTGAATTCATTTATTTCATGGATTCTACTTTGTCCCTTACAACCTGAAACACTAATAATAATTATGTAACAAATCAGATAAATTTATTGTTTGATGGTGGAACTATTGTTTTAAGTAGATTTTATTGATATGGTTGATTGATTATTTAAAATGTTATTATGTAAATATTCCAAAATAACAAATAAGCTTGGTGAATAAAGCAGAAAATTTGTAGTGCAAAAGTCTTCTATCTGACGTTTTTACTGATAACATTTATCTAAGAAACAATCATTAAATCATTCAGGTTAGAGAGGGAAACTCCATCAAAAGTTATGAAATACATAAAGGCAAAATAGTTTTCTACGAATAGAAACTCATTATCATAGATTATATAATTAAAATGAGGTAAAAAGATTAACTAACAAAATAAAATGAATAGAATTTAGGTGATTAATATGAAATACCGATATTCATGTGAAGATATAAAATAAGGTGTTATATTAATAACTAAATTCATCAAATTACTGAAAGATTAATTTCATACTGCCTACATATATTATATTTATTGAAATGAATGTTTATGAATTTGTATAGGTAAGATACTACTTATTTCCTTGATTTAAATTGAATTCTATTATAATTATTATTATTATTATTGTCATTACTACTATTATTATCACTATTACTATAATTATCGTCATTATGTTATAGTTTTTAAAAAAATTCACACTAATGACCATAGTAATAATAACCACAATATTTGTCTTATTCATTTGTCTTATACATTTTATGATAATATTCCTTATAAAGTATTTAGTCACATTTCTTTTTCATAATTAACATCATACATTGATTTTAATTGGATTTCTATGTTATAACTATTAAAGAAAATATCTTTTGATAAATATTTTTCAATAATCAATAACTTAAAAAGTTTCCCACCAATTTAGTTACCATAGTTATTCTTTTTTATTTATCATATATTAGATACATGTAAATTTTACAATCGTTCATTTCAATGAGATTAACAAAAAATGGAATACAATTTTTCACATGGAATCCTCAAGGCCAAAGTAAAAGAGGAAGATCAAAGAACACATTACACCGGGAAATGGAGATAAACATGAGAAAAATGAACAAGAACTGAATGGAACTAGAAAAGAAGGCCCGGGACAGAGTGGGTTGGAGAGTGCTGATCGGCGAACTATGCTCCATTAGGAGTAACAGGCGTAAGGAAGTAAGTAAGTAGGTTTGTTCTCTGAGCTGGATGGTTTGGTTACGGAACTTTCATCGTTCAGCATCATCATCAGCATGAATTTTTATCTTAAGTTTGTGCTGATGATGCTGAACAATGAAAGTTCCGTGACCAAACCATTCAGTTCAGAGAAAAAAACTTCATCAAGATAACATTAATACTTAACTAGGATATCATTAATTGCATGACAGTATACATTTAAGAATTTAAAGAAATTCATGGTTCAAAGCAATCATGGTGCCATTTAAATACTATATCAGAATTTAATGGTCTACATTTTCCATCTTTGTACGTTATAAACTCAGTTCTTTTTTTAATTGATTTCACATTTCGAAGCATAAGATCAGAGTTTGGAATATTCAGTGATGTTTCTAATCTGCACAAAGAATATAACTATTTTTTTCGAATAAATTTGTACTGTTTGAAAGCATATTGTAGGGTTCTTCATTTTTATTTCGTCTGATTAGTAATAAATTAAAAACACGTCACAAAAAAGTACTTTGAACAGTAGTAACTAAATACATTTTATATTTTCTTGATTTTGGCCCTCCTATCGCATATACATGAACAAATGCAGATAAAGACAGCCAGTGTAGTAACAGTCTCTGCATCAGTAGGCCTCAGCATACACAAAGGGAAAACCAAGGTCCTCAAATTCAAAACGGAGAACAGGAATCCAGTCACTCTTGATGGCAAAACTCTGGAAGATGTAGAATCCTTCACACATCTGGGAAGCATCATCGATGAACGAGGAGGCTCAGATGCAAACGTAAAGGCAAGGATTGGCAAAGCAAGGATAGCATTCCTACAATTGAAGCACATATGGAACTCAAAACAACTTTCAACCAATATCAAAGTGAGAATCTTCAATACCAACGTCAAGGCAGTTCTACTGTATGGAGCTGAAACTTGGAGAACTACAACAACCACCATCAAGAAAGTACAAGTATTTATAAATAGCTGTCTTCGCAAGATACTCATCATCCATTGGCCGCATACCATCAGCAACAGCCTTTTGTGGGAGCGAACAAATCAGCTTCCAGCTGAAGAGGAAATTAGGAAAAGACGATGGAAATGGATAGGACATACATTACGCAAATCATCAAACTGCATCACGAGGCAAGTCCTAACTTGAAATCCTGAAGGGAAACGGAAAAGAGGAAGGCCAAAGAACACATTACGTCGGGAAATAGAAGCAGATATGAAAAAGATGAATAAGAACTGGAAGGAACTGGAAAGGATTACCCAGGACAGGGTCGGATGGAGAATGCTGGTGAGTGGCCTATGCTCCTTCACGAGGAGTAACAGGCGTAATTAAAGTAAGTAAAAGTAAAATTTTCTTGATTTTAACTTTCCCCATAAAACTCATCATAATTTATAAAATCAATGATTGGTAAGTTCTAAATAAAAGAATTCGAAACATAGATCTCTATTGTTGGTCACTACTTAGTTTAGATCTTACACATGACTATTACACGTGATATTAATAAAAAAAAACTTGTTCAAGTCAAACATCTGCCATCTATAAGGTTCTCTCATTGTCATTATCGACAATAACAACGATATCTGATTAACGATTTATAATTGCTACTGACCATTACTTGTAATATGGAAAGGATTATGCCTTATTGTGTTTGGTTTTGATTATACCTTCACAACAGTAAAAAATTTCAAAATGCATTATAGAACAGAATTCTGCACACCTGAATAAGTATTAATTGATTCGCATTTATCCAC